TCTTAGCCTATTTGCCAGACAGCGATTGGTTTTCAAATTTGTTACCAAATGTAAGCCGGGGTACGTATGAATTTCAGATTTCAGGGAAGTGTGCAAACATCTCATGTGAAACTCTGGTGTCAAACTTTGGTTAGTCACTAGTTTTTGTTTGGATTAGTTTTTAGTTTAGTTTAGCTTGGTTTTGTCGTTAAGTTTAGTTTAACAATTAGCTCAGCTTAGCTTACTTTAGTTTAGTTTTGGTTTGGATTCATTTTTAGTTTAGTTTAGTTTAGCTTTGCAAAACTCCCGCTCGCAAGAAAGCAGTGCATGTGTCTATCTATCTACCTGTCAGTCAGGTAAATAATGGGTTTAGATTGCCCTGACAGAATTTTAAAGCTGTTATAAAAGAGTCTTTTTATTTGATTGCTGTTGGGTCCTTCTGGCCCTGACTCCATTCAAGGTCTGTTTGAAGACAATGCAAAAACCAAAGGACAGGAGAAATGTGTGTGTGTGTATGTGTGTGCCTGTGGGGGGAGGCAGTTATTGGGACTGAGGGGGGTCATGCAGGGGGTTTGGTCAGGGAGGTCGAGGGGGCTGGGTAGTCACACAGGTAGGGGACACTGATACAGGCGGTGGGACTGTGCAGTCACCATGTCTCAATCTACAAACCGACCCTGCATGACTGGTCTTGGGCAACAGCTAATGGCCCCCAATTACAGTTTCTCTGTCCTCCAGAAAGCAGCCAGTGTGGCGTGACCCTCTGAAATGAGTCTTCCTCACAAAGTCACAACAACAACTGTCATGTTCAGACAGCAAGAAGGCTTTATTTTATGTTGATTTTCATACAAGACACAGTGATACTCGCTTCAAGTCTTTTCTGCCCAGTTATAATGCCTGTCTGCTTTCTGCTCGGTCCTTGAGATCATTCAGCAGTCTGTGTTGAAATCTGGATGAGGGTGGGAAAAGAGCAGCGAGAGAGGGTCTGAGGTGGAAAGGTCAAACTGATGTTTCACCGTGAAGCCAGAGAGGGACATTTTTTTCCAACAGGATGCCTCCTGTGGTCAGGGTTAATGTGGTGTTAGAGGGACAGAGATGTGCGGATGAATTAATTTTAGGGATGAGCAGAGGAGCGTGGAGACAGAGGTCCAGAGTCCACTGGTGGAGTGGAGGGAGGAGGGGGTGGGTTTGGAAAATGGGTCTGTGAGTGCAGATAAAAAATCAAACGTGGTGGTTTCCAACCATGCTGTGTCTACTTGTGACGAGTTGTGAAAAATTAAACCGCTTATTTTTTTTTCCATGTTGGTGGTGTTGCTCTGGGGATGGCATTGTCCTTCTTCAGTCCAGATTGAAACACTTATTAGATGTACTGACATTAAATGTACAGATGTTCGTGGTCCCCAAAGGATTAATCCTACTGACTTTAGTGATCCAGTGACTTTCCATGTAGCAGGTCAAAGTTTTTACTTATCTTGTGAAATTTCTGAACATCTACTAGATGCAATGGCACAACATTTTGTACCAGAAGACGTGTCTTTGACTTCTGTGATCCCCTGACTTTTCTCTAGCGCCACCAAGAGGTTGATATTTATGGTCTTTGTGTGAAATCTTTTGACAGATATTGAATGGATAGCCATCTGGATGATTTGTGCCATCACTGGGTAAACATTTCTATTTGTCTACCTTGGTTTATGACCAAATAACTACAAAACTAACAACATTCCCATCAGCCTCAGCTGCCATTTGTGTTTAATGCTAATTAGCAAATATTAGCAGTTAATACAAGTACAGCTGTGTCAAAGTACAGCCTCATAGGGCCGCTAGCATGGCTGTAGATTCTTAAGGGCTGTCCCCACCAAGAACAGTAACTATAACAATAACTACTTTTCAAAATTCGTTCTAACACACCACAACTATAACAACAATGTTGAACGATGCCATTAGGATCACTTTCAGAGCAATCTGATGAATGATATTGTGGCATACAACTTATTAAAGGCTTATATAATGTAATTTTAGGCCACAAAACACACATAACATTTTTTATTTTACCTCAGACATACTTTCAAACAGTCGTTAGCACTGATGAGCTCCCTGAAGTTAATGATGTCCTCTTTTTGACCATAGTATGAATTAAATTTGTCTTCAGAGAGAAACAACTCTCATAAGAGAGTGTTGGATTCTCCTAACTCCTCTCGTCTTTGAAGAACTTTGTGAGTCCATATTCTTCATTTTCCTATTAAGCTGCCGACACAGCTGGAGTGTGCTGCATGCTTAGTGGAGGGGGTATCGTTCATCAGTGTGGGTGCTCATATTATTATTGTTATTGTACCTGACGGCCTTTAAGTCTTGATTGTTTTTGGATTTTATCCTATGGATACGTTTTTAAGGCCTGAAGAGGTGAATGCATGCCTTCTTTTTTATAAGAAATAAACATAACGTTTTGAGAAATTTGTGTACACATAATAGTTTGTTCTTTGCCCTTTAATTATCTTGTGGCCTCTTGGGTGATTGGGAACCACTAAAGTACATGATGTGTCTTTCCCAGAATAAGTAGCCAGATTTGATCAAAAAAGACCAAAGTAACATTAACAAGGATATAAAGCAGCTTTTCGGGGGGTTTTGTTTACCGGAATAGAGAGTCATGTCTGATGACTATACAAAGAAGGAAGCTGTAGGTGCTTTAAGCAATCACAGGGGACAAGACAGACGCCATGGTTGACTGAGTGTGAAGCTTTTCTCTTTACTCATGAAATAATAGATAACTTGGGTTCCACATTAGGTGGCACAGGGCCAAAATCTTAATTGTTCAAACGCTGACTTAAATAAGCAAAGTGGATTCAGAGGAGCTCCTGTGAGACCTGTCCTATCAAAGTTCATGTTTACAGTAAGAACAGGTTATGCAAAAATTTAAAGATTGGAGCTTATCATGACGAGTTGACAGTTGCGACCACAGATGAACCTGAGAAGTTTGTCCGCTGATGGACAACAGGTGTTTTGTAAATCTTAGCTTTTTCTTGAAGAAACTGTTATTTGTAGTTCGTTATTTCTCTTCAGTTTGATGTTTAAAACACCCAGTATGACTTCATCTCTAGTTTTACATCTTCCTCTCATATCAAACGTCCAGACCAGATAAAATGTGTCACTGTAGCTGCCTTGACAATGATCCCATTTAGCTCCCTCACAGAAAAGCCACACCAACATCGATCTGTGTATGAGGTAAAAGGAAATGTGCTGATTCCTCGCGCACTCTGTTATACATTAACTGTTAACAAAAAAAGAAATAAAAAGAGCTCATAGACTTGGACAGATAACCTGCTACTGCATCTGTCAGACCAGGCAAATAAATTGCTGACAGAAAAAAGAATCTTGACACTTGAGGTCATTGTTGCTACTGTCACATTTTCATGTTACTGGTGGGTTTATGGCCAGAATAAAAATCTATGGGTGTCTGATAGTAGTAAGAGAGAGATTTCACTCATAAATGTAAGTGTCTTTAAAATGTATTTTTGAAGAGAGATTTGATTGGCCTCATAACAGCCCACATTTAACTCATATGGTTTTTGTTTGTGACTTAAGATTTAACTATTGAAATTTTGGAGGCCGTTTTAATAGTTACTATGATTTGGTGCTTTGATCTTTTACTAATTTACAAATGGCAAAACCACAGTGTAAGAGCGCTCCGGTGCAAGTAAAAGTAATAGTATTTAAGAAGAGACAAAGAAGCATTATCAACAAAATAAACTTCAAAGTATCTAAGGTTAAATCATTTATTATGTGGAATGTCTCCTGACAAAATAGGATAAAGAACAGCAAAACTGACTTTTATATGTCAGATTGTCACTATTAATTTGTATAAAAAATAATTAAATAATACTAATAATGCATATTTTGTACGATTATATGTTTTGTATGTAAAATCTTGGAGAAAATGTAAATGCTTAAAGTACAAACACTTTGCCTTCACATCTTTATTGTTTTGTTAAGGTCATGTCTGTTTTTTTTTACCACCATCATCTAATGTGCAAGTCCAGTTTGTGACAAAGTGAAGGCTCAGACACTTCAAAAAGTTTTATTGATTTTTAATAAGGTCAGAAGGAATGGTTGACTTTTTTATTATTATTTTACAGACCCCATACAGCAGTGGTACTACATCAGAACATTGTTTAGTACAGTATTTGTGAGGGTTGTGTAAAAAAGCATAGTCAACACGAGCATATCGATAATCCAGTGTTTCTAGCTGCAGTCTCTGAGAAAAAAATAAAAGAATGTCTCAGTTTAAAATCATGTTTAAAAGCAATTCACATAAAATTAGAAAAAGTCATGAAGTATGAGGTATATTTCTGAGCTGTTAAACAGTGTACAGGGTCTCCAGGACCCCAAAAAGAACACCAGAGATAAGGTATATAAAGTAAATGTATCTATTTATTATGTGGAACTTCTTACACAACAGCCAAGAGGGCATTTTTAACGGCTGCAACCCAAAAATTGTCACTGTGAATTGCCTATGATTAATCTACAAAGCATCAATACATTATTTAAATTAAATATTAGTAAAGGCATTTGTTTTAACTTTTAAACATAACACTTGACTACGGTATGTTACATACTGTTATGTATGTTATTCTACAGTTTAATATGTAAATACATAAACAAACAAACATATACAAACATATAACATATACCTATGTTATATGTTTATATGTATCTATATCTGCAAAGTAACAACTAACCCTGTAGTGGAATAAAAAGGACAATATTTTCCATGAAAATTAGGTGGTTTACAGTCAGGAGCAGCATGAAATGGATACTCGTAAAGTACTTGAGTAAATGTATGTATGTATGAGTCATAATTTAATTATAATATATAAACATCTGCACCACCTTGTTTCACATGTGGAGTGTAACAGAATGATGTAAAATGCGCAAGTAAAAGGTGGATTTGATAGAGAATAGAGAGATCAGTGGGTGTATTTTTTGCTCATGTTGTGTAATTCTGTGTTATGCAGCCTTCAGCAGCAGTGTGTTTGTTCTGCAGGGTTTCAGTCAGAACGTTCCACCTCTCGTGGCTGCTAATGGCAGGTGTGCATGCCTCTGCATTAATCAGGGTGCTGTGAACCTGCCGTTTAATCGCAGAGGAAGCCGAGCAGGTAATTACTTTTGAATCTCTAATTGCGCAGACAAGGAGAAAAGAAAAACAGCAGGCAGGGAGGCAGCCATGGACGGAGATCACATGTAGCCTACAGCTGAGTCCTGGGTGCAACTTTGTCCCACTGAGTTGGTTTAAAGCATTAGGGCACTCTTTTGAGGAATTTAATTCTAGGTATTTGGGTAACACACTTCTTTTTCAAATGGGAAACACATACAGTTGCCAGTCACACATAATACATCAGCAGTCAATCCTTCATGAAGGTTATTATCAGTGGTGGAAATTGACTAAGCATATTTACTCAAGTACTTAAAGTTGAGTATTTCCATATTATGACACTGTATACGTATTACAACAGTACAGAGCAAAATTTTATTCCATTAAAGGACCAGTGTGTAGGATTTAATGGCATCTACACTGGCTCCTTTTCCAAGCACAAAGAAGACACTATGTGGCCACGAAACACACCAAAAAACTCCCTATGTAGAGTTGGGTTTGACCCTTCTGGGCTACTGTAGAAACATGGTGGTTCAACATGGTGGACTACAAGGTGACCCGCTCCCTCTATAGATAAAGACAGCTCATTCTAAGGTAAAAATAACCACAAAAATTCCTATGTTCAGGTGATTATACACTAATTAAAACATACCTATGAATATAATATATACACACTGGACTTTGTTCAGTTTACATACGATCTGAACTTACTGGGATGAACATTAAAATATTAAAAATACTAAAACTTACATCAGCAGCTGACTATATGCATCCCTAATAATAATGATAATAATAATAATAATAATAATAATAATAATAATAATAATAATAATAATAATAATACATTTAATTTATAGTGCGCTATTCAAGAAACTCAAAGACACTTCACATAAGTTAAAAAGGAAAAGAAAAAGGTAATTAAAAAGACACACTAAGAAATTATAGCTATATCTACAACACTTAACAATTAATTAATCATTAAAAGTAGTTCTGAAAAGGTGGATTTTGGTCAGTGATTTGAAGCTGGATGGATCAGTACAGTCTTGGATTAGATAAGAAATAGATCTCCACCACTTCCAGCCACAACATTAAAATGCTGCTTCCACAATAATCAGTAGTAATCCTCTGATAAGTATAATATGACACTCTGATAGGAGGTTGTCTTACCTTAAGTACTTTTATTTTTCCATATTTACGAGGATCTATTGGCAGAAATTGAGTATAATGAGCCGTTTTTATCTACAAAGGGAGTGGGTCCTCTTTCAGGGAGTCTGCCATGTTGAACATGTTTCTACGGGGTCCTTGCCCGCCTTATTTTCTTCTACACACATGGAAAGGGAGCTGTATTCAGTTGGTTGCAATCTGTAACTTCACCACTAGATGATGCTAAATCCTACACACTGCTACATTGCCACTAATACTGAATGCAGGACTTTTACTTAGTAGTGGAGTATTATTTATAGTATTTTATTGCTAGTGTTACTTCTCAATATGAAAAGTCTGCTTCTCCCAACTTGTTTTATGCCTTTTTCATTGAAAGTCTATTTTTCAGCATTTTCTGCTTTTTAGATAGTGACAGCTGGAGATATGGACAGGAAAGGCAGCAGAGAGATAGAAAGGGGATGACATGCAGCAAAGGGCTGGAATCCAACCGGGCGCTGTATTAAGGGCACACTCTACCAGGTGAGCTACATATGCATGTAAATATTTTAAAAATTATATTCATCAAAATATCAATATATTTTATAGTTTTACATAGTTTCTTTCATTGGGATACTGTGTGAGCGATTGTCTCTACATGTTTCATAAAGTTATGTTTCTGCAAATAAATGCATGCTCAGTGCATTCAGCGATGATTAGATGGACTTCAGTGGGCTGATTATACTTAATACATCAGTAATAATTAGCAGACTAATAATAACAATATGCGGTGCCATTTTTCTGTACAGTGAATGCTTTAACTTTTGATACTTATGTACTTTTATTTTTATTTGTATCGTTACTTTTACTCCAGTAAAGGTCATGAATACATAAAAAAAAAGTTTGTCTGTTTTGCATTAATGACATTAAGATTTTTTTTTTATCTTGCAAAAGCACAACAAAGACTTCACGCAAGATTTGCAAGTTAACAAGAAGAGAGTAAATATCTGATAACTGTGTTCCGGCCTAGTTTCCAAATAACACATTACTTATCATCTCTCTATTCGTCAGAAGCTCGTCCCTGCAGGAATGTAATGGATCATATTCACTCATGTTCTTTTCTCAGCAGGTTTATGGCGCAGCGACACACCTTACATGGACCTGGCACGGTTTGTCTGCTCAAAATAAGGTCAGTGGTGATACCGTGCATGGATGTGTGTGTTTGAACTTTATTGATATATGCTGTGGGTGCACACTGTGTAGCCAATGCAATAAAACTCTCACACACAAATAAAAGATTTAAAAAGATTTAAAATTATATGACAGAAGAAGACTCGATCAACAACAGTTTTTGCAGGTGCATGCATGAGAGTGCGTCCATCATGTTCAGTCTTACCTGCATACTGTACCGAGAGCTGTTTCTCCTGTTGTTCACTAGGGGGCAGCAGTGAGTTCAACTAGAAGTTTAGGGAAAAGCTTCACACACAGCAGCCAACCTTTAGCTTGTTACCCTCACACAAAAGGAGTCCTATGTGTCTATGCCTTCACCACCGAACTATGCAAAATGAACCGCTGGTATGGAACTGCTCGACAGTATCGAAGCATTATGGAGCAGGTGTCTGAGTCATGCAAATCTCTCTCTCTCTGTGTCAACCAGCATAACCGTCACTAATAGATAACAAGGAGATAAATGTAGTGCATGTTGATATGACATCTTAATACTTTGTTTGAAACATTTAGGTATGGCTGTTCAAAGTACCTTCTCAAATTATTTTATCCCCAGATATATAGTTTCATTTCAGAAATGTGGGGGAAAAAATGAACAGAAAGTCCTGCTGAGACCTGCAGAGAAAATAATCCTCTAGCAGCTTTGCTTTGCACACATTGAGTGGGAGTTACCTCTAAATAAATGTGTGAAATTAACTTGGAACCTTCTGTTCCAGTCATAAGCTGTTCTTAGACATTTATCTAACATATCTATTGACTAACATCGGTCACACCACATCTAACCTCAGAAAACAACGGTGTGTTTGTCCTGTCGTTTTCTTTTCATGCCTCAATGTGTCTGCATGTGCTTTTTGGCTCATTTACTTTCTCAGTCTGTTTGACTCTGGCGTTGCTGTCAACCTCTTTGCCTGCTGAATTGTTTCTAAAAGCGTTTTGGATGTTTTAGGATAGTTCAATATAATAAATATAATAATAATGACAAATACAAAGGAAAAGTGGTGTTTTACATTTATTAGAGTATTATATCTTCTAATCTGTTAATATTGGATATATAATTTGAGATGTAACACCTGTGCTTTTCCTATTATGACAGCTCAAAATATCTGCTTTGAAAACCCTCTATTTGTTTTGAAGGAGACTTTTCTTCTTCAGTGGAGCAATTTTTAAGTCAAAATTGCCTCAAAATATATTATAACGTTGCTGTGATTCGTGTTTATAGCATTATCTTAAAATGGTGCTGCTCTGTTAGAGTTCTCTTTAATTCTTAAATATAATGAGCAGCCTTTTTCTGTTTTCATCTGATGCCATAGAGATGGCGGGTCTGCCCCCCGTACACCCTGACAAAGTGGCTGTTGCTTCGATCCCTGAGTCAATATTGACCACCAGCCAGCAGGAGAGTGAAGCAGCAGCAGCAGCAGCAGCAGCAGCAGCAGCAGCAGCTGGGAGGAGGAGGAGGAGGAGGAGGAGGAGGAAGAGGACAGCCAGGAGATGATCATCAGCCACACACACACACACACACACACACACACACACACACACACACACACACACACACACACACACACACACACACACACACACACACATAATTATGAAAAGATGAAACATGGGTACACTGTCAACAGTTGTTGTAACCTGTGACTGAAATACATTTTCATATATTATTGAATTCATCTTATTTTTGTACGCTTTGACTACAAATTAGAGAAATGGATCTACTAATAAAATGTTTCCACCAACAGAAGTTGAGCAATGCTCAATATGCCCTGACTAATACCCAAATACGATACGCAAATGTCATGCTGGTTAAACCATTATAATCATTATTGTGTCGTAGCTCTGTTTTAAGTGTCACATTCAACACTGAATATTAATGCAGTTGTAACAATTACTTGCTAGGCTTGCACACACACACACACACACACACACACACACACACACACACACACACACACACACACACACACACACACACTTGCCCGGACATGACAGATAATCATTTTAACTTACAACTTAGACAAAGATTACCTAACCTGCCAGGCTTTTATCTGATTTTTTATTTTAATTGTACCTTTAAAACAGAAGTCTGGAGGCGAAAGGACCTGATTTCTGAATTCCTGATTTCACGACAGCTTTTCTAAAAAGTGTGTCACTCATTAAAAATCAAAAGTACGGCTCAAGGTTTTGTTCTGGGGACTGTTATCATTTGCGAAACTCAGGAATCAACGGTGATTGGTCAAATTTGTGGAAAAATTTAAGTGATTGGACAAAATTTCAAGGTTGTGCTGATTGGGCTACTTTTTGTCAGTCCAATCTGGCAACATTGATTGCTGCTTTGGAGACTTTTATGATTTTAATGTCTGCAGGTAATTTCAATTGATTCCAGAAACTCCCCCACCTGATCCAGCCATCCAGACCCAAATCTCTAGTTTAATGGACCCAAAACCACAAATGATTTCTATATATTTGTGTGAACTTATGCTATATGTGTGAGGTTGGGGTCAGTTTTAGTCCTGGCTAGAGGCCTGAGCAGCTCCACAGGTAATGATGACCCTACTGGTTCTGTAACTGAACTGAAGACGGTTTGTGACCTTTGCCATCAAATATCTATAATAATAATGATATTGCTCTGACAGGCTGGGGGCAGCTTGGCTCAGGAACAGTAAAAGTGTGGGAGTATCAGACAGTTGGGGAGGGGGGGCGCGTATATGATGCAAGGGGTCGTGCTGCCCTGTTTAATAAAATACTGTATCACAGCATTTTCTCTCATGTCTGAACCTTTTTTGACTTCACAGGATGGAAAATCCCAAATCCGTTGTGTCTGTTTGGCGTTTCTTATCAGCTGCTTTGTTACTGCAAGAAAATAAAAAATAAAAAAAACAAAACAAGAGAGAAGTTAAGGCGTAATCAAACACCACTGAGCCAGAAACCAATTTGCTGGGACTTGACTAACAGCCAAACCTCAAAGCTGATCTGATCTGACATGATTTAACAAAAGAAAAGAGGAGGAAAAGCTCAATCCCTGGCTACACACACACCTTGTGCGTGAAGAGCAAACACGCTCGAGAGACTTTAAAGTCTTTGGCTCGATTCAAACCCACAGAAACACTCTGTCACACACACACCCTGCTGCAGTGCATGTTGACAGAGCCAACACTGTCCCTGTGACACACGCTGCCAGCGCCACAAACTCTCCCAGTTCTCCCAGTGCAGGATCATCCACAGGTCATGTTTATGAATTGGGAGGAGTGGATGGATGCCAACGTCTTCCATCACTTTCCTCTTCCTTATCCTCACTTGTATCATTCAGCTGCAAACAGAAACATTCTCTCTTTCTACAATTGCTATAATTGAGCCATCCTTCTGTGATTCATGGGCGTGTTGATGAAATCTTATTGCACTGATAGAGATCAAAGCTGCTGCTCCATCCGATGAAGGGAAACTGTGACTCAATCAAAGCACTTGTGGAAAAGTCTGATCACTGATGGATTTATAACAGATAATCTTATGAAGGGCAACATGAAAACAACCTGCGATTATCATGAAATAGCCAGAGAATTTGCATGATTAATGAGCGAACTGGGATCTGTAGACTAGGCTCTTTAGGTTTCTATAATTTAAGTTCTCCTTAGAGCAGAAGTTTATAAACTTTTTATTATGTCATGGAGCCCCACAACAGATGTACATTAGGCTACAGACACTCAATTTGAAAGGGTTTTATCTTAAGGAATCCCCTCTGAGATTATAAAGTCATAGTCAATCATTGATCAAACTAAATAAATCAAAACAGCAATCACAATTTCTTTCCTTATTGTACTTCCAAACAATGTGATAAAAGTTAAAATATATTCCTCCTTTCGCTGGGGACCCTCTACAACCCATTCGACGACCCCTAGCTGGTCCCTTGGCCTCAGTTTGAAAACCACTGCCTTAGGGGATTTGGGGGTTTTGTTTTTTCTTGCTGACACTTCCTGGTTGAGTCAGGTGAGATATTTCCTGAACACATCATCAATGTGAAAACTAACAAAACATACTGAATTAATCTCTGGCTCCTATTTTAAATGAGGACCGAAAGTTGGTTCTCTTATCAGAGTTTGGTCTGTCCCTTGCCGGCACTGCTCACTTCCTCATTGAGGAGAAGCAGTTTAACATTTTGAGAGCTTATACCTGCGTTCTTGACAAGAATCGCATGAGAAGACTTTGTAGGTTGAATATGAAATTGTAGAAGCTGGTAGCCTGCCTCTATCCAAAGGAAACAAAATCTACCTTTGTGCAAACAAACTGTAGCTTAATTTTAAAGGAGTAGTCTGCCATATTGGGAAATACACTATGTTTATTTCTTTATAAGAGTCCCATGAAAAGATCAATACTCTGAATGCTATATTAAGCTAAAGCCAGCAGCTAGTTTGCTTAACTTTGCATAAAGACTAGAAAAAGGAGAACTACACGTTCCTTTTTAATACGTTTGTTTTTATTAATTTTTGTGTTTATATTAGAAAAGCTTCTGATTACTACTACAAAAGTTTCCAAGATGATATTGGTATTTGTTGTAGAGTCATTTGTTGAACACACATTTTGCTAGCTTGATTTTTGTCTTTTTTTTTTTTTTCTTTCTTTTAGGCTATTCTTCAGCGTGTTACAAAGTTGCCTGTGGGAGAGCTTTATATTTAGTGTACAGGCACGAGAGTATCCATCTTCTCAGTTAACTTCCAACAAGAATAGCGGATAAGTGTATTTCCGAAAATGTCAAAACTTTCAAACTGTGGACAAAATTCACGACCGACTTTAACATGTCTGCCTCTTCGTTCAGATCAGACAGTTGTCTCCAGTCTCTGAGGAGAGGAGATGAGCGGTCGGAGGGTTCAGGTCGAGGGTAAGGTCCAGCTCAGTCTATGGAACGGGACATGGCCGCTGCATGGTTCCTGAATCTCACGCACACGCCATGTAGCCCTTGCCCTTTTTTATTTCAGTCCCAAGTGTTCCAGTCTGTGCAGGCAGCGGGGTGAGGAGCGAGAGGTCGTGAGAGGTGAGTGAAGACACCAAAAGCAGCCAAGCACACCTTGAAACAACACCAGTACTCACAGTGTGTCCCTGAGGCTTGACCCTGAGAACAGGTTGATGCTGGCTGGATCCAGGTTTAGAGTGTGATCATATCCAGGTCAATGAAAAAGACACAGCGATGCCCTGCATGCATCTTGTTGTACACATGTTAGAAAAAAAGCAGCCCTAATACACATGGAATAAAAATAGATAAACTATGTTATCTTCCGTTATGCTATCTAACAGTTTAGTATCTACACAATTTCACCCTCCAATTCCAACTGCTGGAAGTGACATTAAAACATATCTATAGAACTAAACTTGGAGATTTGCATACATGTTGATATCTCTCCTGGTAGAGCTGGCACCCCGTGTACCAAGGCTGAGTCCTCGCTGCAGGGTCCCATGGGTTCAAGGCCCTTTGCTGCGTGTCATCCCCTCTCTTTCCCCCCTTTCCTGTCACTCTACAGCTGCCTCTATCAATAAAAGCCCCCCAGAAGTATTTTATATAAGTTATATTAAATCATGACAACTTGGCAAACTTCATCTGTGGATGATGATTACGTGATACGATCAAAAGCTTCAGAACAGCAACTAAATGGACCTTGAGGTGAGTCAAAGTAAATATGGTCTGTATAGTGTAATTTGTATGGAACGGGCAAATATATGCAGATGTAATTATGTCTAATTAAATATATATACAAAAAAGAAAAACATTAAGATATGGGAGGTACTAGTGAGGTGTGTTTTGGTTAAATGCTAGCCTGGCATCTCCAGACTAATTTGAAAATAGAGTAAATGAAAACAAATGAAATATGAGTTTGGCTAATGAATCTGGTTCTCAGGCTTGTTTAATGCTTAAATAATGACAAAAATAAATACAGGAACCTAAATGTGTTCACATTTTCTATTAATCTGGGTGCCCACGCAGTGACTCAGTTCCCACACACTGGTTTCCAAACCTTTTGGCTGCTCTCCTGAGCCTTCTTTTTTATAGTCAAGAAATTATACATGATAGAAACTCACTGTGTGTCTGTAATAACCTGTAAGATATGTCATGGTTGCTTGTTTTCACAATAATGAAAACAGTGCGAACCATGATGAAGGTTAGTGGTGAACTTTGTGACTGTGTTACTGTGAAACTGAACAGTTGTTAGTTCAAATGTATATTTTAAGTTTAGTTAACTCAATTGGTTTTACAACTCAGATAAGACTTTAAACTAAGTTTTCTACCTAGGCTTGTTTGTAAGGCAGCAAATGAACTTAGCTTTTTAAGTTGAACCAGCTCTAAATTATTTAAAGTCTACAAACTTTCATACTAAAACATCTGAACAGTAGTTTTGTAGTTTTTAGTGAACTGTAGTTTTTTGGAGAAAACATGAGTAAGTGAGTAGTAGTGTTTCTATTTACAGCAGTAGGAATGTGTATGTTGAATTTTTGTGCATCATCGTAATAAAGATGTCACCCAGTGCAACAATGTGACTCACTGAACAAAGGCACAATGGAATAATAGAGATGTTTTATAATAATGGAGATATTTTGACAATTATAAAAACATTGAATATCTCCAACTAATTGAGTACACCTTAAAGCCAGGTGGGCGGACAGGTATAGTTACAGGAACAGGTAGACGGTCCCAGCCCCGGATGGTCCCTGTCCCCGGTTGCTCAACCTGTGTATCACCGATCTGTGTGAAAGCGTAATGGGCAGTACGTGTTCCACGCTGCGCTCCAGTGCACAGGCCGCTTTCACAACTGTGTACTGGATAAACTGTTTTTGCTGCTTGTTATTATTTGTTGTTAATGGTTGACAGATTTTAAATGGAGACATGTGAAAGTGCCAGAAAAATATAAGGCCTACGCCAAAGTCTTGTCTCCCAGAGGTGGCTTTTTTCAATGTGTGTGTGTGTGTGTGTGTGTGTGTGTGTGTGTGTGTGTGTGTGTGTGTGTGTTAATACCTATGTTTCTTGTTAAAAAGTGGCTTTCACAAAGCATGTTTTTTTATTTGGGGGCTTAGATTCATACACTTTCAATTCAATTTCAATCAATCATCAGCATTTTATTCAAATTGGTGTCATTTATTATCACTCCTGTGGTGGCAAACTCAATAAATGTGACTTTTTTTTAAACTTAAAATGTATGTTAGATAATCTTTCTTTAATTTACCTTTAACCCATCATATCTTCTGTTTCCAAACCAATATCTGACTTTAACATTAACCCACTGATCTCCCGCGGTTGTGCTGAAAAGGTTTAGCGTCAGACAACAAATTGCCCCATTTATTTTGTTATTAAGAAAATCAATCAGTTTCTCCAGGCCCTAAAAACTGACACTTGAGTCATTAACCTGTCAGCGGAGATGACGGAGCTGCAGACAGCCTGTAATTTATCTGTTTCCAGTGGGTTATTAACTTTACCCACATAGCACAGTGGCTGGCACTTTACACACCAGAGCGAAGGGCAGCTAAGGTGTACATCTGGGGAACTTTATACAACAGTAGGAGCCGGAGATAAGAGAGCTCTGTGATCTGTGTAAAGACACCCAAAGCAGCAGCAGACTTTTAGATGACAGAAACAACTGTCAGGTCTTTATTATGTCTCCCAATAGAACAAAAAGTATCTTTAATAAGACATGACTATAATAAAATCATTAACATTCCTGCGGAGAACCTAACTGTGTCTCTGGGACTCAGCAGTGGATTGTTAATGACCTTATTGAACTTTATGGTATTTTATCTCTTCCTGTATTTTAACTGGGGCATTTTAGTTGTCACATTCATATAAAAGTTATATTAGGGTCAACATAATCACTTTCTGCAAGGCTAAACTTTTACTAATAACACTTATTGTGTTGAAGAAAGTCTCACTGCATCATCTAGTGCTAATAGGTTTAGGGCAATCCTGTGTATTACTAATGATCAACCACATTGATACTACACTGACAGATTACATGTCTTAACAATAATTGGCTAGGTATCTTGTTGTAAACCATCATACATATTCACAGAGGAGTTCAGTGGCTTCAGTGGTCACATTGAGTTTGTTTACAGCGAAGTTGGGTTTGAAAGAAGGATTACTTTATCACTTTATTTCTACTGAAAACGAATATTTAAGCAAACTGTGTCTCTCTCTTGTGCTTCATTAAGAAACTACACACACTTTGTTTGTGGAATATTCTGTTATTAAACTAAGGATTACACCGGCTATATATTTAAATCAAAAGTCAGAAAAATCCTGGATCTTCTCTTCCATAAACTGAAGAAACACTTCATCATCCAGTTAATCAGGAAAAAAATCACATTCAAAATCACCAAATGTATAATGGAGCAGAGGTGTAAAGTATAAAATGGAAATACTCAATTAACGTACCTCGAATGTGTACTTAAGAACAGTACTTGAGTAAACTAACCTGCTGTACATGAGCTCAAGCTGATCTTAACTCCTGGTCCCAGGTCAGTTTTCAGGCTCCAGCTCTTTGAACTATGAGGCTGAACAGATGTTACCATCTTTTAACTGACTGGAACATAACATTTTATACAGTAAGTCAGATTATATGAATGTTTTTTATTACTTCAATTCAAATTGAGATCATGCAAACATTAAAAATTTAATATTAAGTCATGTAGCCGCCTATAAGCTATGTGTAAAAGTTTCAGAAAGTAGTCAAGAATTTTAATAATGTTTTTTATTTTTGCTGTATTTCCATTAAGAGTTACAATTGATATTAGAATATATGCTACAATGTTTAAAATAAAGATCATACACCGTTATATTTAACTGAGAGTTTAAGAAACAATCAATATGAAGAGTGATTGAACAGTGTTTTTTCTCAATCAACTTAAATAAGTTGTTGCACTCTATAACTGCAGTGTGTTATATGCCTCAAGTATTGCCTTGTTTAATGCTATTAATGTTATTTGTTTAATCTTTATCACCTTTGATACACCCACTGATCTAAATCCGGCTCATACAAAGGTGCAAACATGCCAACACATCAGCCTCCATGATGAACATGAAAACTTTTTTTCACTTTTTATTCTCTGCTTTGTTTTTATTCTTCAGGCTGTATTTAATACATGTGTGTCCGTGTGGACGTTGCAGTTGTCTGTCTTAATAAACATCTGCTTTTGAGTTAAACTTTGAATGTACAACCATTTGTTTTATTTCCTCATCTAAAAACTAACAACAGAGCAGTCAGTAATATCTGAAAATGAACAATTTCATATTGAAAAGTCTCGATGCAGCTCTTTATTTAAGGGTTAAAGAGTAAAATCCAGCTCCATACAAATCATCAACCGTGAAATGAGGTAAATCCACGTATTGTATGCTACTTTTTTAGGATTTATTTCTCCCAAACAGTCCTACTTACTTTTGACATTCAAGCTGCATGGATGAAATCGTATGTAATGTTTGCAACAATATTATGTTTAATAAAGTTTAAAAAAAAAAAAAAATCTAATTTAAGTGGGTTTGCTTGAACTTTCGAGTACCTGCACCTGTTTCTGTGAGTCCATCTCCCCCTACTCTCTTTGTTTCAGAGGTAAACTGTGTTTAAAGGATAAACAGCTAAAATCACCTTTATTATGGTTTTATTTACAGAACAGTTCCACAGAGAAACAAAGGTGAAAAGGTGAGACTGAACACAGACTGTGAGCCCTAATAACCTCATTCTGCTCTTATATTAATGATTAAGGGTTTGTTTAACTCCTCAGTGAATTGAAGGTTTATGGGTGTTTTGTTTTTCGCCCTAAATTTGTAAATCAGATAAAACTGAAGCATTTCATTCAGGAGGGAATAGTTTATAATGTACCATGTCATTGAGCGCAGATAAGAGACAATTGGGGCAATTGAACTCTTAAAGGAATTTCTGTGCCACATTTTCCAATATATGTATAGACTAATATAACAAACTGTAAATACAACATATTTTAACATTTTAAAATGAACAAAATATTTTATTAATGTTATTAATGAAGATAGTGTCGGAGTGATTTGTGTAAACTTCCAGAAATTATTGTTTAAAAGTTTTTAAAAAATCTTCCAGAATAAAAAAATATAGGCCTTTTTTAATAAAATTTAAATACATAAACAATTCTCTAACGTAATGTGAAACCACTCGCCTACAACTATAATGAGATTATATTGGCGTCATTAAAGGAAACAAATGAATGAGGACAGCGACAACACCTCATTAACACCTGTACGATTATCCCTTTATTAAGTAACCAATAAAATGCAAACACATAAATAATAACACAAGTTAAGCCCTTTTACTAAATAGAATAGCTGCTTGTCGCGTAACAACTTCCACAAGGCCTCATAATGAAACAAGAATAAAGCCACTATTGAGAGGACTGGATCCAGCGATGTGAATATGTGCAGCTCGCCTTTCTTAAAACTCTTTATGGCATATACAACAGGGTCCAAAGTCCATGAAAGTTTTGCTGATAAGGGGAACCAATAAAAGCAGCAGTGCAGCAGTGTAAACACATGTCTACCTCGGCCCAGAGCGGGCCTTATTCTGTGGATTTACATAAGGCTCCCATCAGCCGGCCCACTCATTATCATGTTTTATATCCCCCTGCACTCAGACAGCATCATGGCAAAGTAGCTCCATCCTCCACTTCAGCAGGGAGGTGAAGCAGCTTCTCGGAGCAGGTGTCAGCAAAGTCCCCACAACACTGGACTAGAGAGGAAGAAAGGAACTTTATTTTTGTTTTATTATTTCCCTCTTTCCTCACCTTCTTATTTTTTCCTCCCCTCTCTGCTGTAGCGCGCACCCAGCAGGCCTATGTTGTGTTTTTAATGTTCTCTAAAATGGTATCCAAGCTGACATCCCTGCAGCAGGAGCTCCTCAGCGCCCTGCTGGACTCAGGAGTTACCAAAGATGTTCTGATCCAGGCCCTGGATGATATGGACCCCAGCCCGTCGGGCTTTGGAGTAAAACTGGAGAACCTGCCCCTGTCACCAGCTCCCCCTCAAAGCGGCAAGATGAACGGAGCGGACGCTGACTCGAAGCCCGTCTTCCACACGCTCACCAACGGCCACAGCAAGGGCAAGCTGTCCGGGGACGAGGGCTCCGAGGACGGGGACGACTACGACACACCGCCGATACTCAAGGAGCTCCAGTCGCTTAACACGGAGGAGGCCGCCGAGCAGAGGGCCGAGGTGGAGCGCATGTTGGCGTAAGTTTTTTCCTACGGGATTCTTTAAAAAGTGTTCAAAAAAAGAGGTCAAATTTAGTTAAATCTCGCTGTAAAAGTTGGAATTAGAAAGTGAAAAATATAGCTTTATTCTAGCGCATTCAAAATTAATGTTAAACTTTAAGTTTGGGCCTTTTAAAACTTTTAAAATCAAACTTTTTTTTAAAAAAAGTGCTTTCTTTTTCTTTGTTTACAATTTTAAAATAACCCGCCACGGCTTGGTTTTCACATTCTGGTTACTAATTATCCACATGGATTATTATTTCTTTACCTTACTTGCAAAATATCAGATGAACTTGGATCTATTTATTATTAACTTTACTCCACCTCTCAACGATAAAAAAGTCCAGCAAGGGGCAACATGAGGAGAAAGTGAATCGACACAACTTCTTGCTGGGAATTTGTTTTATTTTATTTAGGTAAATTTAGGAAAAAATAAAAAATATAAGTTTGATAAATGGGGCCTAATTATAAATGTTTATTATTATTATTATTATTATTAATAATAATAATAAAAACAACAATGATATGCTACTAATTATTATTGTACAGTTTAATTGAATTTCTCATAGCCTACCTATTAATTAAAATTAAACCGTTTTTATTTTTTTTATTTATTCATGTGTCAGTAAACCCATCACGACGGCTCCTAATTTGACACTTCCACCCCTGTGATCCATTTATTTCTAATCATCGCCACTCGAACCACTCGATTCACTGTAAAACTAATATTTGAGGCTCTAACATGACCGGAAGAATATCAAAACTAACCCACGTGTAGTTAAGTTATTATTAATTTTATTCTATAAATCATCAACTGAAAGATACACAGTGGCGTGTGATTAGAGTGAATGGAGATCTGGTTATTCATTGTCAAAAGTTATAAACTAACATCTCCCACTTAACCCGCAGACTTAGATGCAGGCCTCCACATTCTCCAAAACAAACAGACGTGTGTAGATTTGCTATAATTACCGATGTCAGTGTGTCTGGGCCCTGCTAATCTCTGCCAGGGCTCCATTTTTTACACCGGATTATGTTTTCTTACGCTTTCATATTGCTGCTGCTGCAGCAAAAAAAAAAAAAGACTAGAGTGAATATTGTGAAGGGCTAATTCGACAGGTAAGAACATAAAAAGTTGTTTAATGCTAAATGTATGTAAGGAGTCTATATGGATATGAGTAGCCTGCATGTAATTTCTTAAAAATACAAATTATTTTTCACTGAACTTTATTTGAGATTCATATATGAAAACTATATATGATTTTAATAGTCTCATAGCCTACTTTTTCTCTTATTGATACCTCAAATTAACCTTTGATTATCAATCAAACAGAACTGTTTCTTTAATTTTTTATTTTAATTGAGTCAAACCTTAAAAAGAAAGATTTTCATTGTACATGCTTAAATCAACACAAAGCTAATCTAGCTGTTTCCAGGCTGAAATCATGCGTTTAGGCGATACATACTAAGTCCAAGTTTCTCAACCTGCTCGGGATCCACTTGAACTAACCTTTGAAAATATTTACAGCCTATTGAACGGGCAACACTGATAAATGGGTCGCCTGTCCTATTATCGGTACAGCCTCTTTAAACCTGAAGAAAACTGAAGTCAAAGCAAAGGAACAAGTTCATTGTGTGTTTGAGACCATGTTTTATATTTGTAGATTTTTTTATAGGTAGAAATAAACAACTTTTAATATCAACAAAACTTTCTCAAAAGCTTCACAAGCTCAAAAGTTTCATTCAGTACTTTGACAAAGACTAAAACCTTTATTTCAGCCATAAAATGTGTGTAAATGTGGGCTTTTTCGTTTTACTACTTCCCTCTGAAAGCCTAATGTAGTTCAGTATTGAAATGAGTCATGTTTTCTGCTCCTGTGTTTTATCTGAAACCAGAGAGGATCCATGGCGTGCTGCCCGCATGATCAAAGGTTACATGCAGCAGCACAACATCCCCCAACGGGAGGTGGTGGACGTCACGGGGCTGAACCAGTCTCACCTCTCCCAGCACCTCAACAAAGGCACGCCCATGAAAACACAGAAGCGAGCGGCCCTCTACACCTGGTATGTCAGGAAACAGCGGGAAATTCTCCGACGTAAGTTAATATTTGAGTTTCTCACAGCTTGGCCCCGGCCTGTAATGTGTAGTTGGCAGCAGCACGGTGCTTTATTTGGGTTTCAGACCGTGTGGGGATATCAAGATGGATCGGACATTTCCTCATGATGCTGGATGACATATTTATAAAGCTACAGCAAGAATAGGCCTGTGCTAGATCCCACTGAAGCTGTCATAATGCATCAAATATGTATGCATAAAAAACCACCAGTATTATGTGTCTAAATAACTTTTCCTTTTGTATTTTTTGCAATAAAAAAACTCTTCATCTTCAATTAGTTTTATTGAATGTACTTCTTCTTATTTTGCAGAGTTCAACCAGGCAGTTCATGGTTCTGGCAGCAATATGACAGACAAAGGCAATCAGGATCCGGTGTTTTTTTTCCCAGAGTTCAACCCGTCCGGTCAGACCATGGGTCAGCCTGGTGACGAGGTCGGCAGCGAACCCTCCAGCAAGAAAATGAGACGTAACCGTTTCAAATGGGGGCCTGCGTCCCAGCAAATCCTGTATCAGGCCTACGAACGGCAGAAGAACCCCAGCAAGGAGGAGCGGGAAGCCTTGGTAGAAGAGTGCAACAGGTAGAAAAACATTCCTGCACCTTGCTGAAAAAAAATGTTACCCAACACGATATCAACCCCTAATTCCTAATTCTCTACATCTGTTTCCTGCAGAGCCGAGTGTCTTCAGAGAGGCGTCTCCCCATCCAAAGCTCAGGGCCTCGGCTCTAATCTGGTCACTGAAGTGCGAGTCTATAACTGGTTTGCCAACCGGCGTAAAGAGGAAGCTTTCAGGCAGAAGTTGGCCATGGATGCCATCACTGTGCCGCCCCACAGCATGAACCCTCTGCTGTCGCACAGCTCGCCACATCATACCAGCGCTTCACCTCCCAGTAAGATGCCCGGTGACGTTGCTTTGCATACAGTTCAACTTCACATCTATTTAGCTTTGTACGCCTATGACATGATACAGCAGAACAGGAGACATAGTCCTTCGTATTCCACACATTTCCCTTCCTTGTCAATGCCTGCATTACCCACAATGCAAGTAGTTTTGGTCAGAGATTGAGAGAGGGAGGTGTGTTATGCTAGTAGTGGCTAATGTAGCCTCAAAGCCGCTAGCCTAAAGCAGAGATGAGGAGTGGGCTACAGAGGCCTGGTAACCTTACCTCTTTCTTTTTTTTTTTAAACTTTTCAAACCTCAGCCCCAACCGATGTTGCCTCAGCTGACATCACCTGAGGCAGTCAGGCTTTGTGCAGTTTTCTCTGGAGCGACAGGAAGCGTTATATCTGGTGCAGATTCATTGCTTATGTAGAAAAATTCCAGTGCCCATGAAAACATACGCTAACATCAGTTTACTGAGAAGATTTAAGCCGTTAACTCCCTAAATTTGACATAATATGCTTAATGCAAAAAAACAAAAAAGAACATGATTTGGTTTTCTCCGGTGTGGTTACAGCGTGTCAGTTGATGTGATCAGAGAGGCAGAGAAAGAGGGGTCAAGTGATCAATGAGCGTGAGTGAGTGAGCTGAGCAAATGCCATTGTTATTCTGATCTTTGAAAACACACTGAGAACAATCCACATTGTACCTGCAATCTCCACTCCAAAGTCAGCATGGAGAAGCATGACACAAAGGGCAGCAATCCTGTGACAGGCCAGGGTCAGGCCAGGGTCAGGGAGGGGGGACAGACACATCCACATTACCTCGACATAACACCGTCATTTCCACATTTCCTCCTCCCATGCAGGTTGCTAATGACTCCGCTCACAGAGTTGCCAAAACAAGGAAATGCTGTGTGCTATTGCTCTGACCATTTCACCCTGACCTGATGTTTGCATTTGGAGTAATTAGTATTGACTGAGTTTACCTGGTGTATACGACATAAAAACAAAGCTGATAGGCCTCACAGAGCATTATCCTCTGTGCCATCACTCACCCTCCATAAAACTGTGATTTGAGAGACTCACTCAGGGCCTATTGTTGTCCTCTCGTGTTCGAACACGAGGCGAGCTTTGAAGGGAAAACAAAACTGTTTGCCTTGGCTTGCTCTTTTACCTTTGGATACACTGGTCCCACTTTGGGATTGTCTGTTTGCTTGAGGTTTTATTTTGTTGCTCAGAACACCTGACCAGGCATTGACCCCAGGTTGCAAAGCCAGAGGGGTCAGCGATAAGGTTGCAGAAGGGAAGGGTCGGTACATGGCGGAAAGCACTTTGTTCCCCCCAAAAAATCCCTCAGCTGGCTGCTTACATGGTGTCCTGCTGGCATCCCGCCGACAGCATCAGCTGTTTTTCAGTGTCAGCTCCTGGCCTGACAATAATATCCCAGCGGGGCGTCTCATTGCGTTGCTAGGGCACGGCCTGTATTATGCATGCTTAATGGACAATTAAAATCCTTTGCTACTACATCTCCCAGGCCTTTGATAAGGGGCTCCTCTGACTTCTACTCTCTATACTCTACCTCAGCAGGAGTTCCCATTGTCTGTGGTGTATTAGAAGACTGCAGTGACTGTAACCTAGGTTCATTTATCTCCGCTGGGCCTTGAGGAGGACTGATTTTAAAGCCTCCCCCATCCCCTTTATGGGCATTGGTATAGTTGCTGAGGCTGGGTGCAGACTTGAAGCAGCAGGAGCTGTCCACTGGGGTATTGGCTCTTTTCTGGCCAGACAGGACTGATGACCCCTTCTTCGCCTATAGAGAAAGCTAGCCACCCCCCTCCTTAAGCCGCCGCCACACCTTCCGTCAAACGAGAAAGGTCACTTCTGGGTCAGATCAAAGGAACTCCTCTTACTTTGGGAGTTTTTATTGATTCTGTTTTGGTTCATTGGCCAGTTGGTCACAACTGGATAGATAGTCAAGTGGTGTGACATGCAGTTTTGCCGGTGAACCTTTTTACTTTCTGAAATGAAACTGATCTAAGGCAGATTACATAGTTTGTCAGCAGGCGTATGTGAGCACACACCTGTGTTTTCCGATGTAATATTTGCTCTGTTCATCCACTAATAACGTTTACTAAGCTCAAGTAATCCATCTTATTAACAGCATTATACTCTGAAGGATTGATCTCCACTAATGAGTTGACTAAATCATACAACTGTATGTTGACAAATGTTTTCTTATGCCAAAATGATTTAAAGGAAAAGTACATTTACCCAAATAGTGTACTTAAATACAATATTGTGATACTTTACTTGAATATTTCCATTTCAGATCAAGATTTTACATAAAAAAAAAAACTCCTTTTGCTCCGTGAATTGTTAGCTGCTCCACCAACTTGTCAAATTGTTTCTTTTAAAAAGTACATTTTGCTAATACTTCCCTACTTCTGCTTACATATGACTTTGAATGCAGTACTTTTAGATTATTGGTGGTTTTCTAAATCTGAATACTTCTTCCACCACTTGTAATTTTGGCAACTCAAGTCACAAAAAAAGTTGAATCACTGCTGTGTGAGCTGACCAGCATCGTTCTGGGCGTTAGAAAACTAGCAGACTCAGAAGTTCCAGATCAGATACAGTAGCAGGGGGGATTATCAGTGGACCTCGGGCAGCTGGAAACAGGACACACACACACAGAAAGGATGGCCTAGCTCTGCACTTTCCACTGAAAGAAGAGACTGGATACGTCCTGCAGAGACCCAGGAGGTCTGTCATATGCAGCGACACTACAATGAGCACTGCCTGGGGTTGGGGAGGCAGGCTTTGATATTACATGGGTCACACAGGGAGCTGGAGCCTTTTAAACTTGCTTAAGATCCTTGCTACCACTCCCCTTCTGAAGTTCTCGCCCTCCCCCTGTTCTCGAAAAGGACTCCTCAGTTTTTGTGCCGGAGCCAAAGTTTTAGCTTTACACAATCTCCAAATAAAACAATCTTAATGCATCCAGTAATGGTAGAAGCCATCTATTGACTTTAAGTGCGTCTCTAGAAAATCTGCTCCTCCCACTAAAGCTTTCTAGATACCCAGACTCTCTTAGTTTTGATTTTGAAAGTCCTCATGACTTACTCCGAGGTTCCCTGCAGTTAGAATTACTGCAAAAAAAAAAAAAAAACTGACCTGAATAGCATCCTTTTCTCTCTCTTACACTTTAAGAGGTCGCCCAGCACCGAGATAACTGCCTTTTTATGAGTCCTATCCTATTGTGTGGCAATGGGGGTCATGAGTCCAATGGAGTGCTTTATTGTTCTGCAGCAGTGTTTACAAGGCACGGTGGAGTGTTGTGGGGTTGCTACTATGTTGAAGAAGACAATATGAAGTCTGTGGACTGAACAAAATGGAGGACAGGTACTTTAGGGGATGAAATATGGCTCTGTGGCTTTTGCCTCAGACACCGTGGCATCTGTATTTTAGGTATCTTTAGCTAAAGTGCTATGCTTGTTCGCTTTCTTGCAGACAGTTGACAGTACGTGCATTCTTTACCTAAGTAGAAGTACAGATAACTTCTGTGGGAAAAAAAGTAAAAGTACTGATTCAGCTTCTTAGTAAGTAAAAATGAAAAAGGATAGGCTCTGATAAGCACTCAAAGTATAAAAGTTTCTTTTCTGTTTCATCTTGTTGTGCCGTTCTCTTCCTGGTACTTATTATTATTATTACAACAAAATAATAATGATATTAATTGATAACTCCCCTCAAATCCATTGAGACTACAGTTACTAGCCTGTTTTGTAGAGTCTGTAGAGTAGAAAGTGCAGAAATTTGAATAAATATGTAGGGGGCATAAGTAAAGAGTTGTCAACAAAATAAGCACAGATTCCTGAACTTATACTAAAACTACTTAAGTACAGTAACAAAGAATTTGTACTTTGTACTTTATTTCCCACCTCTGATTGTAGACGATCAAACAGGACTTTCAGGTCCTTCAGGGCTGAAGAAAATTGCAGATACATCCTGTTCCAGTTTCTAGCAGCGACAAGAAATCAATGCCCCCCTCATTGGTCACATTTAGTGTCAATGCCTCTCCCTCCTTTATCTCAAAACGGCTGTATATCAATGCTTCCTGTCATGTCTCACCGACTTCGGTTGGGGCGTTGAGGCTGACACACCTGGGTCAGGGACGGAGGGCTCAGGAAAGATGTGTAAACAGAGTCTGTCTCTACACTGTCACTGAGGGACGGGGGGCTCTCTGTGTCTGTGTGAGGCTGAGACCACAGGATAAGAATGTGTTTGACATTGTTTGTAATTGTGTAATGTTTACTCTGTTGGTATCAGAGGGGGCCTGCATCGGCAAACAGGCATTTGATTGTCGGTTGTGGCGGGGTGAAGCATTCCTTTGGGCCTCCAGTGAGAGACAGCAAGAAGTCTAGACACGGGATTAAGTGATGGCACTAAAAGACAAATTTAATTTCATTGCAGCTTCGCTGTGAATATGTGACAATGTGGTGAAAACAAAAAGTAACTAAATACATTTACTCAAGTAGAAGTTTTAGGCACTTTACATCTACTCTACTACATGTCAGAGGGAAATGTTAGGCTTTTGATGTCACCATGTTTATCCTACTGCTTAAGTTTAAATTTTCAAAAGGTTTTACATTGAAAAAACTTACGATAAGCTCACAAAATATACTTTACAGATGGTTTGATTTCGGTACAATTACTAAATATTTCAACAAAAAGATTAGAAAACATTACGCAGCTGAACTTTTTTCCTGTCTTCCTATTTATTTTGTGTTTACCAATCATATTTATATCAATAATTTACAATTAATTTAATCATATTTACATTGTGACCCTTTGGAGGGGACATGAGCCCTAGGTTAGAAACCACTGTAAAATGCTCATCAGGGCTTTCTGCAGAATGAGTAAATATACATATACTTTTTTTGAACGCAGGACACACATTTACTTTACTTCTACTTGAGTAAAGGATCTGAGTACTCCTTCCACCAATGGTAAAACTTCACACTGACGTAATTGCGAACATCATCAGTAGCATTTGTATACTGATCAGAGTCTGATGGGAATTTTGCTGTAGTGAGTGCGTGTACATAGTTCATGGCCGTGGCTGAGCTAACGCAGATAGCAGCAGCGAACGGATCAGTGTGTTTGTTTGCTCTGTTCTCCCCCTGTCTGAGTCAAAGAGCAGGTGAGCCTGGTTGGTTGGAGGGATTGCGGTGTTGCTCATGAGGCTGATGCCACTATCTCTCTGCCCTATATAACTGTTATAGTTGTAGGATGCAGCAGCTGTGAGCCAAAACAAGTGAAACTAACTGTCTCTCTTTCTCTCTCTCTCTCAGTGCGTTACAGCCAAGGCCCCGGTGAGGTTACCTCCTCCACAACCATCAATCACCACAGTAGCAACGCCATGTCGTCGAGCCAGTCAGTACTCCAGCAGGTGTCTCCGGGAGGATTGGACCACAGCCACAGTCTGCTGTCACCTGAGACTAAGATGGTGAGTGAATACACTTGGGCATTCATGACCTCAGATTAGATAAAACCTGGCCTGCGCTTTGCATAAACGTACAAAGCAGGTTCTTGAACCTCTTCTCCCATGGACCCACTGGCAAGAGCCAACAATTAGCGCATTGTGCTGCTCTGTTTGGAAGGTGGAGTCAGGGTGGCAGGCCATGGCTGGCCAAGCACTCAGCCTTCACCAAAGTGCACGAGGCATGTTCATCGCTCAGCCAATAAACCTGACAAAGAAACATTCTGTCCTTATTGATTAAATGCCTTGCAAAGAGGAGCCACAGGTGGAGCACTGCTTGCTCTGCCAGAGAAATGCCAACATTTGATTATACCCGACATTCTCTTTTTTTTTTGTCTACTTCAGAGTTTCTCCCTTCTGCCCTAGTCCAATATTTGATCAGTGACAAGGAAAACTGTGCATGGACCCATAGCGTTTGAATAGTGGTGCAACAATACTTTTGATATATCATGTGTGATTTGCTGTCAGAATTGGGTTTTTTTTGGACCAAATTTAAACTGCAACACAACACAAAATTCAGCTATTTAAACCACTTATCTTGTCCAGGTAAAGTCATGCAAATGAAATATTCAGAAGTGTTCACAAACTTCCCTGTCACGTCAAAATACTTCTGCCTTTTGGAGCGGCATTATGAGAAACACAGCGAAGGTAGGCAGTGTAGTTGTGCAGCAGGTCGGACCTGAAGGTTCCTTATCTGCAGATGTGTGTCGGGCCCATCTGTCATGTGTGGGCAGCTGGCAGTAGTCAAATAGACGCAGCCCCACCAACTGGGAGGATCCCGATCCAGATAGACATTACTGTACATGATAGAGGTTTTTTTGTTTTTTAAGGGTTTGATAAACCAACATGAAGGTACAAAAACTCATGCACTCATGTCTTCTCCATGCTGACATTTCTAGCATGAATTTTTTTCTTTCTTATCAATATTTGCTTGTGTGCCGCATATGAGTTACACAAGCGTAGTGTTATACAAAAGAATCTGAACTAAGTCAACATTTATGTCTGTAGTTTGTTTAGCAGCCAACATCTGTTTCACTTTGAAAATACATTTATGTGAATTTACATAGCAGACACTCAAGCTCTCATAAGTGTTGTCGTCTGTTATAATAATTATTACAGCAGTAAAACAGTGCTCTAATTTTATATGTTTGCTTCATCTTTCCCCAGATTTCAGGTTCAGGTGGAGGACTTCCCCCAGTCAGCACATTGACCAACATCCACAGTTCCCATCACAGCCATCAGCAGACACAGAACCTCATCATGCCTCTATCTGGAGTCATGGCCATAGCACAGAGTAAGTCCTCGGTCTCTCTGTATGGCTAACACAGACGATACATTTTATCGTGACATGGTTTTGACTGAGGTTTTGCTTTGTCTCGCTAGGTTTAAACACGTCGCAGTCTCAGTCGGTGCCAGTGATCAACAGTGTGGCTGGCAGCCTTGCAGCGCTGCAGCCAGTGCAGTTTTCCCAGCAGCTCCACAGCCCGCACCAACAGAGCCTGATGCAGCAGTCCCCGAGCCACATGAGCCAGCAGCCGTTCATGGCTACCGTCGCACACTCGCACAGTCAGTAACACTCAGTTCTACTCTCATCTTCTTTTTTACACCAGCCTCTAGTAGGCTTTTATAACTGTTTGGCTTTAAAAGTTACCTTCTATGTGTTCCCCTTTGTCACAGGTGTGTGTATTAGGTTATAAAGCCTGAGAGGATAAAACTTTCTTGTATTTCACAAGGAAAAAAAAGAATATATATCATAATAAATAAAAAATATTTATATTGAATACAAACAAAAACATAATTTTGTGTAGAGGAAATATGTTTTTGATTCTCTCCTATGCTGGTGGTGATCTATTGACCCCTCACATTCATCTTGGGGACCCTTTGAGGGGTCCGATCTCCAGATCCCAAACCAGAACAGAAATGGGCAATATTATTAAAGGAAATACAGCGATATTAATGAAAAATACAGCTCAAAATACATGTATCCACTTTATTATGACCTTTAAGGTTTCTTTTTCTTGCCCTAATTCGATATTGTTGTCATACATGGACACTTTTCTGCCACAAGATGAGAGGCATCAAACCTATTGCTTCTAAAAGCAGAAGGAGAATTATTAAAGCTTTAGATTTTAGATCAGATCTTACTTCTCCTGTTCCTTTGGTATCTTTAGGAAATGAAGCAAACTGTGCTGCTCAACATAAACATCCTGTGTGCAAGTATGGAAGTCTAATTATCTGTCTGACTTTCCTTTGCAGTGTATTCTCACAAGCAAGAGCCCCCGCAATATACCCACCCGTCACGTTTCCCCATGGTGGTCACAGACGCCAACAGCCTCAGCACCCTCAGCTCCATGTCCTCGGGCAAGACGGTCAGTATTTAGTCCACATCATATCTCATCACAGAGGCCTTGGTTACATGCATGTTCTCACGTCTGCCTGCCTGCTACTGTGGGTTTTAGATTTAAAAAGTCAATGTTCGTAATTGGTATGGGGGGTATTTGTACAATTGAGATGTTAGTAATTCAGTAATTCTTACATTTTGCAACAGATAGAAGTATCTTCTCATCAAATCTCTCTTTTGAAAAGTCCAGTCAGCTCACTCATTACCTACTGATGCACTAAAATCACCATCACCCTGTTCTGATTTAGAGAAACAACACAATCAAAGCACACGCTGACAGCAGGAACTAGATTATGACTGGGAGAAGTGTGTGTGTGTGTGTGCTATGATTGTGTGTTGACTTGTTTAATTCCTGTCACATTAGGACGCTCCTGTAAACAAGATGGTGCAACTCGGGGGTCTCTCCTGGGTAAATACAATTTTATCAGTTCAGTAACGCACTTTAAATGAGTGAAATCACCAAAATTGCACAAAAATTGAATATTTTAAGTCACTTTTAGTTGTCAGAGTTTCGTTTGGAGCTGCTGCTGATGTTCAGATGCTTTCATTTGTCTCCAAACCGACAGACGAGACAAATACGTGGATAGTATACTCCTCAGATTTCCTATTTCCTCCTAAACAGTCGTCTAATCAATCACCTGTTCCCTCAGCCTGAACGCCTCTTGATTACCGCTGCCTCCTTTCGCTTTCCTCTCCCTGGTGAGAGTTACCTCTGCGATCAGGAAATGAGCCCCGCTGTTAATCAAAGTTCTCAAGCCGTGGGTCCTGCTACTTTCCTCCATGCTACAGTGAGGCTGGAGATGAGATGGGTTGGGTGGGGGGTGGAGGGTTTTTTTTTTTTCCCCCGGTAATTACATCTCTTCCTCTTTCCTACTTCTCCCTGCTCTCGGTGATCGCTCTAGCCTGAAATGTTGTCCACGGTGCTTTCACACGCTCAATTTCCCACGCTGGGGCAGAGCACTCGTACCGCCGCGCTGCTACTGACAGACGGATGGGTTGATGGGGTGATAGCTCAGAGCTCACGGTGTATCCTCTGTGGAGGAGGGAAGTAAAACAAAATCTCTCTGAGGCTGTGAAGTATAGGCACATTTCAAGGACAGTCAGCTGTTTATTGATACACTTTTTTAAGGTAGATGTTGTGATACAAGCTGGACCCAGTGGTGGAGGAAGTATCAAAACCACAATGTAAAAATACTGTCGATTAAATCTTCCACAGATTAGGATCCATCTGCCTGGATAGGTTGGACTGGCTAACTATTATTTTGTTAGTTAATTTAAATCACTTTAATTCATTTAAATCTTCTTAATTGTCAGTGAGACTGTATTTCTTTTTATTGTTTTTACTGTTTTTCATGTGTTTTGATTACCAAACACGTGGAATATACACTCACATCCTTTTATGGCTGTGAAACACCTGGGACGTTTGATGTTTTAGTTATTTACAATGATATAATAATATAATACCAAGACAAATAGTGATATCAATACTTACACTACTACTAATATAAAAATAAATAACTTATTTATGGTATTATAAATAAGAAATACTGTAGAAATTATACTTATAGAGTGTTTTCTGATGTTTGACGGGACTAAGCTAAAAATGGACATAGGAGCCTTAACTATTCACTGCTTTCTGTAAGGAGTCACAAGCCAAAAAGTTGATCTTTAGTTTAGTCTTGAACAATGCGTTGTAGGGTTGCAGATGCATATTATTTTCTCAATTAATTGATTCTTGATGTCTTCAAAACATTAGAACAACTGTTAAAAAAAATACTATAATGTATGAAAAAGAAAAGCAGTAAAATGCTTTTTATAGGCATATCTTCTATTTTTTGTGTAAAATCTATAAACTAACTACTCAATACATCTGTCAGAGCAGTAAAAAGTACAATATTTCCCTCTGAAAAGTAGTAAGAGTAAAAATGATCAGGTATAAAGTAGCACAAAGTGAAGCACAAGTACCTCATAATTGTACAGTACAGTACTAAACTAAATGTCCTGATGGTTGCTTTCCACCGCTGGCATCATCACCCTGTGGCTTTTCACAAACCCATTTATTTAGAGAGCAATTAGCCAGCAGGCCCTCCCAGGTATTTTCTTATCAGGACTTTTATTTGGGCAGCCTTCTTCTCATGACACAACCAACATGCTCAGGCTTTATAACACTCATTGTTTACCGTGAACCCTCCATTATACCTGAGCCTGTTTAAAACTCACCTCTGCTCGGAGCCCGGCATCTAATGACTCAAGTCTTACCTGCGGGTCAGCTTTATCAGGTGAAGCTGTTTGCTGGCCGCAGGGTCACACCAGGGTCACCTGCCTCCACCCCTGGAGAGGCAGGACAAAAATAAATTCCACAAACAATCCAAAAAAGAGAGAGAGCATTTCAATGGAATCAAGGCTTTTCAGAGTCAGGAGAAGAGGGACGAGGAATGTATTTGGTCAGGTGTGGCACATGAAGGTGTAGGGTGATGTATTTACCAGTGTCGAAAGAAGTATTCAAATCATTTAGTTAAGTAAAAGTAGCAATACCACGCAGTAGAAATACTCCATTACAGGTAAAAGTCCTGTAAACATAATTTTACTTAAAGATCCCCTCCGTACATGTGTTAAGACATATGTACAAAAAGTCTGCTTGGAACAATAATGTGTGTCTGAGATGTTTTTTCCACAAAAAAGCATAATCTTCACATTAAAATCCTAAAAAGGCATCTGATCTTTGAACCTTATTATAAATGACAGAATCTTTGAATATGTGTTGTAATTATGTGTTTATAAAAGTAAAATTACAGAATATTTCCAACAAAATCCCATCAGTGTAATATTACTGGGTCATATTATTGATGCATTTATATGTAAGCAGCACTCAAATTTAATAGTCGGTCAAGGTGGAGCTAATTCTACTTACAAGTAGAATTACTTACTTACTTACTTACTTATAGCAGTTTAACCTGTAACAATGCATCATATTGTATAAACAAAGTTACAATATCTGTTAAATAAATGTAATGGAGTAAAAAGTATAATATTTCCCTTTCAAAAAGAAGTATAAAGTAGCATAAAATAGAATATATATATATATATATATAGTGTATATACCTGTGTTACTGGACAGATTGTATTTATTGTTTTATGTAACACAGACCTACTTTGTCTGACATTTCTCTCCCTCTCCTCCTCTCTTTCAGTGTCCTCTTCAAGCTTGGTGAGAGCGTCCACCTGACTTCCTCGGTGCCCAGCAACCGGAGCACATTTTTCCACCCTCTCACCGTGGTCACCATGACAACTCTTAATAACCGGCAAACGGCGCGGCTGGATGATGAGTCAGTCAACAAACGAGAGGAGTGACGACTGGTGGGCCAGGCTGTGAATGATGAGAAATGGGGGACAGAGGGAAAAAAAAAAAAGAAAAGAAAAAGAAAAAGAAACTCACTGCACCTGAAAGTGAGGAGACTGGATTCCCCTCGGTCGCACACAAATGATCAACAAGGATGTATGATTTTAACGCAATCTTTGAAAACAGTATTCAGTATTTTTTATGCCCCTTTTCAAAAAAAAAAGAAGAAAAAAGTCATCCTCTTTTCTGACATTACAAAGGAACAAAAACCAAGCACCCAAAAACTGCTCATAAACTGCGATACGGACGTAAATGAAGGCTCTGGGACGACTTATATTACACTGTGATTTAAGGTGGAAATATGAAGACACGCTGAAACTTTCAGAGACAGTGATCAGCCTCTGTGAAGGCTGAAAAGACTCAATGAAGGCGATTCAGTCCCAGGATGCCTTTCGACAGCTACACAAATCGCCTTTGCACGTGAGCAGAACTGTGTGACAATCACATTAACCTGTATTGATCTTCTTACTGGGCTTTAAAGGAGTCTTCCATGTTATTATTTCACACTCAGTTTACTGTACTAACATTGGTGCAGACGATGAATGCCCTGTCTGTCGTTCGAGGGATTCATCATTTTCGAGTTGTTCATTGTGTATACTGTGATTGAAAAGACTTTGACAATCTTGAAAGGACTATGCAATGCGTCTATAGGTGTATGCAATGCTTTGTGTAACTGGATTCTGCACAGAACTCCACACACTTGAAACCGGGAATGAATATGCACTATCAGTGAAGTCACCAGCAATTATTATGTACTGGAGTTGCTGCCTGTAAAATAACACAAAAAAGCAGATAGATGTGTGACAAATATGCTAAAGCGTTAAGAGTGTAGTTGAGTATGGCTTGTATTTGTCATCAAGTCTCAAAAGTTAGCCCGCAGTATCTATAAACCAGATCTGCCCTGGGGGACTGACTCACACGCTTTAAATGTGGCCCTTCCCCTCCATGTTGTTTGCACACAGGTTCAGGTGAATTTCAGGAATGGGACTCACCCTCCTCCTCCCTCTCCCACTTCCTGCTGCAATGTGAAGAGATACCAGAATAGGACAAATATTGTTAATAACTCCTCCATCATAAATCATGGCGCAAGACCCCCCACCGGTGTAGAATGAAAATATTGACAAGTATTCAGAAACAAAACATCTTTGGCTGGTATTTTGTGAAGGAGAGAGACATGAGAGAGGATAATGTTGTGACAGCCGGTGCTCTAATCACGAAGGAATCCACAGAGACTGAGAAATGTTGGGGAGAGGAGCAGCTGCTGGGTACAGATGCCCAGGCGAACTCTACTTAGCTGCACTTGGCAAACTGTCGCCTTGCGTGTTCGCGCGACGCCGAGCGTTGGACCTGTTTGTTCACAGCGAACAGCGAGCGTTACATCCGTACAGAGGTTAGCTGTAAGCCCTCTGTGTAACTCCGGTTATATTATTTTCCTCAAGTCTCTCTCCATTTTTCCCTCTCTGTACATTTATGAAACGGATTCTCTAACTGGGCAAATTCACCTCCAATTGTTTATTTTCCATTGACTTCTGTCCCAGTTTAGCTATAGCTGGACGAGGATAAGGTCAATAATAATAATACATTTTCCTTACTACCCATGTTTTTATGAGAAAAAAAAGGCCATTTTGACTATCAAACCCTGCATGTTATAAGTGTGTCAGATCCAGTCTCCTGTTCAATATTAGGTCATTACATTGTTATTATAATGTTGGTTGGTTTGTGACTGTTATAGGCACATCTACTGCCATCTGATCAGAGGGCACTCATACTTGTGTGACAGGGCATGATTTTTCTTTCCTCCTAATGTATTATTTTTGTATAAAATTGAAATCAATCATAAATCATTATTTATACTTTCTGAGAAAATATTGAAGTAAAAGTTGTTTTTTTTCCAAAATGAATACATGGTTTTGGTTATTTTGTGTGAAGACTTCCACATTTTCTTTATTGCTCTATTATTAGTAGTTAGCTGGAGTTTATTGAGGTTAAGCTCATCTGAACTAGTGGATGTTGGATTGTTTAATAATACATTTATAAGAATTTCTAATATTTTATATATTGACCATAAAGTAGGTTTTTTAACTTATGTAAAATATTAATCTGCAGAGTAATTTGTAGCCTAATTGCTGTTAATATATAAATATAGTAGAGTAGAGGTACTAAGTAAAAATAAAATGGAAGTAATTGAGTAAAGTTCTGGTAGTTAAGCCTATACTTAAGTCTAGTACTTAAATTACTTTCCACCACTAATAAAAAATAGAAAATAACAGAGGCTGAGCTGCCAGTAGGAAGAAGGAACAGCTCAGTGCATGGAGTCTGTTTATAGCCTCCACAAAGAAGTTGTGGTGTTGCTCTGTGATAAGCAAACAGCCTCTTTGAAGTTTTTAGATCTAAAGTGCACAGTGCATTTAAAGTTCATTGAACCCAACATGTTATGATTGCATAATTAATTTCATCCTGACATAGAGCCCACTGTATAAAGAAAGTAAAATGTCATTGTAATGACAACTATCACCGCTTCATTTGGGGTTTTAAGTCAAGATAAAGGTCATATTTAAATAAATCATTTGCCTTTTAAAATAATCAAATCATTACATAGCCTACCATTACACACACTGTTAAGGTTTTGTGCTCAGGTACCCAGGCAGTGTTTTTCTCCCCACAGTGTCAAATAATGTTTTATAACATCAGCAAATATTTGAAGCTGTTTATGAGGCAGAGAGAGAATTTCTTATAGGAAAAGCAAAAGGCCCATGATTTCACTTTAACAACAAACCGATTTATCAGTTCAGAGTCAGAAGAAGGCATTTGAGCAGTCACATTTAAAAGCACTACATCTAAAAATATAGGTTTAAGCCTCTTTGGCTCCTTCTGCCTCACTCTTACGTGATCCTATTACAATTTAAACTGTAGTAGCTGAAGTTTTTGCCACTTGGGGGTAAAACCTCACAACATTGGCATGCAGTATTATCACCAAGTTGAACTCGTTAGCAAACAGTTGCTTATTTACACACCCAGCAGTTACACAGTCACACAATCATTAATTTGTTGTCATGTTTCTGGCCTCCTGATGAATGAATTAAGTCCAATATTCACTTTCTGTTCGCTCTGTTTTTGGCCTCTACCAACTCCTTTAGCTGGGGAATGCTGCACTATGTTCACCATCTAGTTGCTAACTGTGTCTGTCTGCTGTTTGGTACTGAGCAGGTGCTATACAGTGGGGGTTTTATTGTGTTTTAGCTGAAAGCAATTGAAACCATTTAGAGTGAACCAAAGAGTAAATTTGCGGACAGCCATGAGTGCGGAAACCCATTATAAAGCTCTGTAAAGCCGATTGAAGCTGCAGATTCAGCTAATAATCACTCAGATTGTCATTTGATACATTGTTATTATAAAGAAAAATATTGATTACAGCCATTTCAAAGTCATCAGATTTAAAACTTTGCATCATTAAAACAGGATTGTGATGTATCCCTGTGTTGACCTGCAGCCTCCACCATGGAGCCCTGCTGAGGGAAGCCTTGTAATCCACTGATGTTGCTCTATTTGGTTTTCAATGAGGCCTTTGATTTTCAGACCCAGGAAGCCTCTAAAGATCTGACCATGTCCCCTTTACTCTTTTCTCTAAAAGAAACTGAAATACTGGGAGGCTCATTAGCATCTGTTAGAGCTTGAAATACAACTCTAAACTCTCTAAACATGACATTTAATTCAACTGTGAATTAGGGTTTGAATGCAACCTCGTTTCACTATGCGCTAAAGAATTTTCTGGCTGAAAACACAGTTTATATTTGCTGACCAATTAGTGATAATATAAGGTTTATTGTATTGGTTAAGCTTTATTAAGTGCTTCATTGTGTTATTTGAGGTGTAAACTTGCAGCTTATTTTGTATGAGATACAATCAACATTTTATTTTATTGTCTCAGCCATGTGATGTTCCTGTGTTACTCTGTTGCTTTTACACATAACACATGCTGATTTTAAAGTAATTATAGCATGAAGTTAAAGTTATAACGAGCTACTGCATGCTTTTCTGCATTAACCACTCAGACAATGAATCTCTGGGGAAAATAATGTTTTTAGTGTTATAAATAACTTTTTCTCTTCATGTCTGTCAGCAGGGGGCACCATAACTCATTTAGGAATTAAATATAAGAATAATGTGGATTAATAAGAGGAAATAATGCATTGCACATTGCTAATTCAAGTCTAATATAATCATTAACAGTTTTACGTAAGTTTGGGAGTATTTTTGACATCTAAACTGAGGGTAAAAACAAATGTCTTGTTGTGTTGAACTTAAATGATATCTGCAGCTTTTCTGTAAACAATCCTAAAGAATTTTATACAAATAACTTACTTAATATATGATCAACATGCCCAGTTGTAAGGAGGCAGTTCACAAGCTGATTAAAATCACAGAGACTTTGAGCTATCTTCTTCCAGGAAGCTGTCTTGATGAGCTAGCTTCAACCTTGGTGGCAGCTGATGGGGATCTAAGAATAAAGAATAAAGTGAGGAACTTCAGGACACTGACTGATCAAAGCACTACTCTCCCTTCACCTCTTGAAGACCAGCATGACTCCCAGGCAGTGGAGCGTAACAGGGAAGGTCATGACTAAAGCCCCTCTACTGTGGCCTGAGCCAAAACTGGACAAATGTCAGTCAAAACAAGATGTCCCTTCACCCACAATTAAAACTAGTTCACTCAGGTCAAGTATAAAAACCTACTACAATAAAACTATAAATACAGTTAATACCATCACTGATACTGCTGCTACAAGTATTACTGCTGCTAATATTGGTTCTATTGTAGTATTATTTAGGTTTTAATACTTCTGTAGATGATATAGAAAGCAGCTCTGGTTGTTCCATTAAATAAAGGTGACATGAGCCGATATCTAAGCTATCCTATTGGTCTAAAATCCTCACTGGTCAACCTGCAACTATGTGCCTGAAAATAAAGTCCTTTAGCCGCAGCAGTCAGGCTGTGGTCCTGGTCATAGTACAGTAACCGCTGTTGTGGATGACGTCGTTTACGCACTTGGTAAAAAGCAACATTGTGCTGGACTCTTTATAGATTTGTCCAAGACTTTTAATACTGTCGATCACAACATCTTGCTAAATAAGCTGCTTTTCATGGGTTGTGATGATTCTTCTGACAGCTGGTTTAATTCATCTTACTGGTAATTAATACTACTATTAATACTAATACTACTACTCCAAGTTATAATAATAATATCATAATCATCATTATCAAACGGGCTTGCTGGGTGTTCATAAACAAGTCTCCTTCTATCTGTACAACATAACAATCTTAGCAATATCAGTCACTACTTTGTTTCCTTTACTATGTAACCTGTGTCCTCTGATATCTGGTTACTTTTCCTTTATTTATGATATCTACACAAACACAACAAGGCAATACATGAGGACATATAAATATATTACAGAGTTATTAGTTAAGTTATTTAATGATTGATTGGCACATTGTAAGAAATTTGCGTTTGGACATAAATTCTACCAAACCTTTTTGCATGGTCTTTAAATTCAAGCTAATTTATTTAACCTTTATTTATACAAGGTAAGACACTCTCTTTTTTTTTTACCAACTTTTTATTAATTTTTCACTCCAAACAAATTACACATATTTTAGTGAAGAAAGAAAAATAAAGAAAAATTATAGAAAAGTAGAAACAAAACAGGATTAATCAATAAATAAAACTGACAATGAACACAAGCTCAATGAAAGTGATCACAGAATGGTCAAAAGTAATCAAATTGTCTAATCTACAGTGTAGAAGATGCTCTGTTAGAGTATAACTCTACTGCTGCTGCTGTGGGGTGACGACGGACCAATAGATTCACTCTGCTCGGGGACTCGAGAGGTCAACACAAGGAGCGAGCTGCCACCCGGGGAATAGAGGAGAGGGGCAAGGAGACCGAAAGTGGAAGCTGCAGGGTGAATGTGGCCGTGTGTTTAGCAGAGCCAGAAGAAAAGATACTACATCAACTCCAGCTGAGGCCCAAGGGGTTAATGGATAGGACTACCCAGCAGGGGTCAAGGGTCAGGAGGCCACTCTCTGCCAGGGCTAATTGGTCACTGCGACCAGAGTTAACGCCAACCTTTCTATGGAGAAATACATACACATGTATGGAGCTGCTCTGACAGGAGTCTTCCATCAAAAGCCCTCTGATCAAGGAGGCCTCTGTTGTGCTCCTGCACAGTCATGGAGATCAGTCAGTCCTCCGTAGTAACAATCAGTACCCTTCACCGTACATCGCCACCAGCACCACCTACAGTGACAGCAAGGCTGGACTCGTGAAAAGATTGGTGGCTTTTGATCTCAAGTTTTTTTCATTCAGTTCAGTTCAACCCATTAGCATTCACTTTTTTGTAGCTTTAATACGAAAGATGAGGCGGGAGGGGTGTGTGAGGAGAAATATATTTTAGTTCTGTAATCTATAATTTTTGAGCTTGTTTCATTTCCTGTGAGACTACATTACATATCAGAAAATAATTCCCTTCTAAATGACCTACAGAGGTCCTTGAGTATCAGGATGTACCTCTTGAGTATGTTACTAGAAGTATATTTGATATTTCCTTTTTATTCACTAAGACAAGACAGTATCTGGCAGAATTTCAGTTCCAAAGAGCTTTACATACATTTAAACTTCAAGAGGGATTGAAAACAAATGTTAAATTTATGAATTTAAGAAGTGTGAACATGTATATAAATATGGAGCCAAAAAGAGAGACATTAAAGCAGTTCAAGTGTTTTTAGAAAGCAGCAGAAAATAATTATGTTTTAATGCTCCCTTTAAAGTAAATTAGAGGAATTAGTGATATTCTGCATGATTTTGTGTCTAAAAACAAGCATATGAGGTACTTTATATAA